CAACAGTTGACTATTTTTTGGTATTTTATTACGCGTCTCGTATTACAAAAAAGAAATAAAAAAATAGACTGAACAAAAAAGAAATAAAAAATCTGGCTTCGCGCCTATTGGGCCGGCCTAGTCGCGTGCGCTGTCAACAATCCCGGGATTCAACCCGCCACGTCAACAATCCCTGTTTGGAAACGCTCTCAAGGTTCAAAATAGACCGGGATCAAAAATTTGGTGTGCTGATTTCGGGGATTGGAAGTTCATGGTTCGATTTAGCTTTCGTCTACGAGTTCAAGGTTTATTTTAGACTTTTTCCATATCTAAACATAGGTTGACACATTACTTTAGTTGTCTAGCTTTCTGACGTTTGGCTTGCATTAACAAAACATATTTTTTTTTTGGAAAAAAAGGACATTTGTTTAGTTTCATGAAGAAGGGGCATCATCTATTGTACGCCATGAGGTGATTCAACATTAATGCTTAACCAACCTCCATGTAGTAAGTAATCCGAACTATTTAAAAAACATTAATGCTTAACCAGAGGAGAATTGCCACCCAAGCACACCATCTTCGCCCTTGGCTTTGGGCGAAGATGGTGTGCTTGGGTGGCAATTCTCCTGTCGACTTCCTCCACGAGAGTGCTCATCAATGGAACCCCCAGACCACTCATTGACCATGCCAGTGGATTGAGGCAAGGTGACCCCATTTTTCTCATGCTATTCGTCCTAGTCATTGACGTGCTCAACACTCTCGTCCAGCACGCCACCAGTCGTGGCATTCTCCACCGCCTCAGGAGCAGGCGCGCCATACCCAGTATATCGCTGTTCACGGACAACGTCGTCCTCTTCTGCCACCCAGACGACCACGACCTCCGGGTGGTAAAGGGCATCCTAAAGTTATTTGGCCAAGCCTCGGGCCTCAAGACCAACTTCGCGAAGTGCTCTGCGACACCCATCTGTTGCACGGATGAGTCAGCCACCAGGGGCGGTGAGACGCTCTCTTGCCAGACCACACATCTCCCCATCCAGTACCTTGGACTTCCACTCTTGAACAGGAAGGTTCCCACATCGGCGCTGCTACCCCTTGTGGAGAAAATGGCCAAGCGTCTTGGTACTTGGTAGGCTTGCCTACTATCCCGTGGTGAACGACTTGCCCTAGTACGCCACGTCCTGACCGCCATGCCAGTCCACCTTTTACTGGCCATGGCCCTCTCGCCCTCCATCCTGAAGCTCGTCAACCGGCTAATCCGTGATTTTCTATGGCATGGGCGCAAGGAGGCCCGTTCGGGCAACTGCCTGATGAACTGGCAAAAGGTGTGCGCCCTCTCGAGCTTGGGGCCCTAGGCGTGCGTGACATTCAACGCACTGGCATTTCTCTCCGGACTCGTTGGCTTTGGCTACGCATCACCGACCCCACGCAGCCTTGGCACCATCTCCACCTACCCGACGACGCCGATGTGCGGGACATCTTCCGTGCATCCACCTCTTGGACCATTGGTAACGGACTTACCTACCGCTTCTGGACTGATCATTGGCTGGAGGGCAAATTGATTGCCGAGATTGCACCGAGCCTGACCACTTTGGTCCCTCGGAGATGCCGCAACAAGCACCTGGTACATGAGGGACTCCTCAATCAGGCTTGGATCGAGGACATCCGCGGCGCACTTTTCGTTGAGGCCACCGTAGAGTATATCTACCTTTGGAGGCGTCTTCTGCAGGTGACCCTGTCCACCGACCCAGACCACATTTGCTGGCGGTGGACGGATAGTAGCACGTACTCGGCCTCATCTTGCTACATGGCTCTCTTCCAAGGCTCCATTGCAGACATGGATTGGAGGCTAACATGTAAGGGTTGGGCCCCAACCAATGTCAAAATGTTCCTGTGGCTCGCCAAGCAGGACCGTTGTTGGACGACTGAGAGATTAGCCAAGCAGGGATTGGCCCACCCTCCTCGTTCCGTCCTCTGTGATCAGGACCCCGAGGACATCCACCACCTCCTCGCCGCTTGCGTTTTCTCCAGGGAGATTTGGCTCGCACTCTAGCTTGGTGCAAACTCATGGTCAGCCCTTCCAACGGTGACCTCACCCTCTACGACTGGTGGAGAGATGCTACTAGGTCCATCTCGGTGTCGCTCCGGAAAGCCCTTGCATCCCTGGTCCCGCTGGTCACCTGGGCCATTTGGAATCATCGCAACACTTGCATCTTCGACCTAAGGCAACCCTACACTAGCTAATTGTTTGCTTCGATCCAAGATGACGTGCGCACTTGGGCCACTGCCGGTGCCAAAGGACTCCAAGTTGTAATCGACGCATTGTAAACCTTATTGTAACTGGGCCGATCAACCCACTTCTTCTGCTCATGAGGACCCCTGGCACGCCTCGTAGTGTACGAGCTAGGAGTCCTCAACCCTTGTATTCTATCTACCTATCAATGCAATGATACGCCAGCTTGGCGTATTGGAGAAAATCATTGGTAAAATCGGATCCTCTCCCTACAAGAGAGGTGAAACCGAAGGCGACCTGCAGGCTGCCACCGTCCTCCGCCAGCGAGTGGAGGGGTTCCGCCTCTCTTCGTCGGTCGGTTCGGCGGCGGGAGAGGGTGGGTCCTCATCGTCTCGTTGATGACTCATAGTTAGGTTAGGGCTAGGTTTTCTTCTTTCCACCATTTCCAGCTTGATGGTTATGGTGGTGGCGGCATGGAACAAATCTTCTTAGGATCCGATTTCGGTGGGTTGCTGTGAGGCATTTGCCGATTGATCTGGTAGCAGGCTAACCAATCGAGACTGGTGTGGAGGTGGTGCCACCTCGAGGTGAATTTTATGCCTTGGCCCCGTCGACGCCGTGACGCGCGCTCTGGCGTCGACATGGGGAAGATGGAGTTTTTTTAGGAGCGTGGTAACTCCGGATTTGCGGGTTCTCGTCAGTGACGGTGCTTCACCGTCGTCATTCAACAAGCTAGCGCAAATGGTGGTGCAGTTCCTATCTGGCTTATATTCGGTGTGCTGGTCCGCCTGGACCAAGGATGGTGACTTCCCGATGTCTTAATCCGTGCACACAACCAAAGGGTTTCACCTGCTCCGACAGGGAGCGGCGGCGACGGCGACCGCGGTGTGCCCTCATCCCGCTTGGAGGGGGCTAGATTGGTTCCCCAGGGTGCTAACTTGTAATTTCTTATTTTTCCAGGGTTGTGTTGTACCACTGTTTATTTTCAATATAATCTGGGGTCCTTCTCACAAAAAAATTCTTAACTAGATAGAAATTCTACCCATATAATGGCACAATGCTACCCCACAGTTGAGAAAAATGCATACCCACACTTGTCATCAACTGAAGTGGAGATAGACTCCCATCTCCTGCAGAGGCGATCAATGGTGGGGCCGCACTCTGTATGGCCGTGCATGTAATAACTAAAGTAGAGAATGCACGTTGTGCATGGCGCGGCCCAATGATTTGGCTTACCGTTTGGGTTAACTGAAAATACCTAGTTTTATGGGCCAGACAGCTTAACGAATGAAATCGTGTCATAAAATTTTCAAAAATCATTAGAGCAACCTGTTACAAAATCAGCTACTAATTTGTCAATGTGATCGAAGTAACAATAATAACGGGGTAACGGAAATATCACGATCATGTAGCCTAAACTCTTCGTGCCTTCCCTCGAACCATGTCAGGTTAGCTAGGGCTACAGGCTTTTGACCTTGTTGTGTAGTGTGGAGTACATTCAAGTTGAGTCATTTATTTTGAAACGGAGGAAGTAGTTGCCAAGTTTGAAGATTGCTTTGGTTTGGTAAAAAGAGAAAGGGCGGGGCCAAAAGAAGGGTGGAGAGCGAAAAAGAAGGCGAGCGGGGTGATTTCGTACTGTCCTACGTACGCGCGCCTGATCCTACGGTTGCACGCTCTGGTGGGGACATTGGAAAGCCGAAGCGCTGCTGTCAGGGTGGGTTTCACCTCTGCATGCATGGGCAACTTGTACTTCTCGCCGTACTTAAACACATGTTTAGGGTCATGACGAACGGACGTCATCCATTTATTTACACCGAATTAAAGAGCATATACTCCGTGAGGTGATTCAACATCGATGTTTAACCAGATACAATGGAGCAATGCTACTACACATTTTCTTTTCTTGAGTACAACCACCTAGTTGCAACTTGGCCTCAAGGCACCACGACGATCGATCCAAATATGTCACATTATACAGATATAAGAACCCACTAAGTGCGGCCAAGAACACACTAAAATCTCCCCTAAGCAGTCCTGCCACCGACCAAGCTCGGATCTCCTGGTCAACCTTCTGAAGAACCAAATGTGCGGATGGAAGGTTTCCATCGAAAACGACAGTGTTTCTCTTCGATAGCTCCCAAAGCACGGGTACAATGATGGATCGAAGATTCTTCTGCTTCTGCTGCTCGTGGCCAACACTTTTGTTGTTGCGCCACTCAACGATAGACTCAGTCGGCATCGACACCTAGTCCGGTTTCCCAACGCCGAGATAGCAGGAAACCACACATGTCGGGGCGTAGAGTAAGGAGAATATGGTCGATCGTTTCCTGAACTTGACACAAAAGGGGCAAGATGGATGGTGTGGCAGCACGCGGCGTGCCAGTCTATCGGAAGCCCAGCATCCATCGCGAAGAGCAAGCCATGTGAAAAACAGACATGTCAGAGCATCTCCAGCCGTTGTGCCTTCTCAGGGATGTTTTTTCGTCCGGTTGGGGCTGCGCCGGCGCAAATTTTGGACTTGGGGAGAAAAAATTTACAGCCGTCTCCACCCCCAAGCATGGCGCATGGCGGACGAGGAGGACGCGTGGAGGACGCGTGGCGCGCAGCGAGGAAGCGGCCGGGCCGGTGACGATGTCGAGGAGGCCCCGGCCACGCGGTGGTGCGCCTCGGCCACGGCGGAGAGCAAGCCCTTCCTCTGCGTCTTGGATATGGCGAATGGCTGCAGCGGCGCCCACCGCGGCCGCCGGCCGATCCGCCAGACCACCGGTGAATCAGCGAGCAGCAAGCAACCATGGCGCCCCCTTCCCTCTCCTCCTCCCACCTCCTCATCACCGTGTCCCTCCCCAAGCCCCCGCGCCCGCGCCGCTGGATGCGGCGGCCCCACAGCTGCAGCTGCAGGCTGCAGGCCGAGGCGCCGACGCCCGCGGTCAACCCCTTCGCCGACATCCCCGACGGCGGCCAGTGGCGCTACAGCGAGTTCCTAGCGGCCGTCAAAAGGGCAAGGCCGAGCGCGTGCGCTTTTTAAAGGACGGAGGCATGCTGCAGCTCACGGCCGCGTGGAGGCCGGCGAGGAGCGGGGAGAGAGGCAAGCGCTCGACCCGCCAACTCCGGCCCCCTGCTCACTGCGCCGGGGAGATGCGGGGAGGGAGGCAGGCGCTGACCCGCCAACTCCGGCCCCCTGCTCACTGCGCCGGGGAGATGCGGGGCGGGGCCGGCGACGCCAGGCGAGGGAAGCGTCGGGGCTACAACCGGCCGCGCGAGCTCTCCGCTCCGGCCGCGCGAGCTGTGTGTGCGGTAGGTGTGGGATGGAGAAAAGAGAGAAAAGAGAGG